TATATATATATATATATATATGTATGAAGAATAAGCCATGAGAATCCACTTACTTCTCAAGTTTAATGTAAATGCTTGTGACAGCACGATATAGCTCAAAAGCCATTTGTTCTTTCCCATCCTCTTCCAAAATCCCACAGGCATCATTGTACAACCGAATAGCTTCCTCTGGTTGAACATCTTCCAAAGCACTTTAAATATAAAAGTAAATAAATGAAAATGAATTCTCTAAAAAATTTCCAGTCTCATTAATTAAGGCAAAAAAAATTACAATAAAATGTTCACATACCGAGCACCTTTTGCAAGTGCATCTGAAGCCGGTTGTGATCTTCCACATTCCATATATAACTCCGATGCCCTCTTGTAAAGGTCAGAAACCTCATTCCAGCTGTTAAGATCCTTAGCTAAAGCACCAGCAGATTCCATATGTTTGGCGGCATCCCAAGGCCTATGGAAGTTCATCAAGGACAACAACTAATATGCTCATTTTTAACAAGATAAAATACTCAACAGGATACGATGATATCATTTCTTGGCCTTTTGAAGCCTTCTCAAATGCTTCCTTCGCCTTCAAATTATCTTTCCTCGTCCTGAAACCAATAGCTTAAGCAGAAGAAATGAAAATTAAAGTTCGGAAGTCAATCCATCAAGAGACGAATTTTCATTTCTATACCAACCAGCCTGTTCAAATAGTCCTGTAGCTGATTTCCAATCAGCAGACCATCTTGTAAAACTAAGCTTAGTTCTGCAAGAATATACAAGAAATAATTAAAAAATAATGCAATCTGAAAAAAAAAACTCCTAATAAATGAAGAAAACACAATCAACGGTAAACAAATTTAAAATATTGCCACACTCATCTGATATCTTCCTCATAATTCATACCATTAGCTTTTTAAAAGATGTGGCAGTATGAAAGCATAATTTAAAAAAGGTCCTAATAGAAGATCAACTTATTAGAAAAACAAGCTCAAATAACATCAGCAAACTTCAAAACCAGGAGCAATGATATGAAGTACGCATGCTTAGGCAACAAATGTATGCCGAACTAGTCAAGAGACGAGCCAAAAAGATTATATCTGCATATCCTGTGTTTTTTCAAATTTTTATTGTCTAATAGTTTCCATATATCTATTATTTGGAGGAAACAACCTGGGTATTTCTCTAGCAAGAGTAGAATTTTAATGATCCTATATTGAAACTATCCGACCCGAGGCTGGCCAAAAATAAACTCAAATCATTCAATCAAAAATCAAGTACAGCCAAGCCTATTAATAGGTGGCATGAACCTATATATATATACATATAGGGGTGCGTGTGTGCTTGTTTGTGTGTTGAGAAGAAAGGTATTTCTATTTCACCGATTGAATGAGTGACACCTATAAATAAGCATACATGAAGATACAATTAAAAGAAATAAGAGATAAAAAACCCCAAGTCCAAAGATTGAAATTACATATGATTGCTTTTTCGGTATTAGGCCCTATATATTTTTTCAGTACTGCTTGATTCAACAACACTCCACCTAAAATTGGAGCACAAATATGTTATAACTCCGACTTCTAACAAAAAAGAGAAAAGATCAGATACCCTAGAGCCTTTGTTAGGATATTTATCATTAGTTCTGAATGGGAGATATAAGTAACAATTTTCTTGGAAGGCAGCGCAGCTCATATGAAATGATAATCTACTTAAAAATGTGCAGTTCACTTATAAAAAATTGATATTGGCAATGTAAATGGTGGTATGATAACGGCAATATAGAATAATAGGCCAATTAATAGGTAACCCAAACTCTCCCAAAAGTTTTTTACGCACGTCATTTTGCATGTAGAATGAGACATGGATGAATTTTTTGCTTTAGCATTTGACCTTGCCATGATAATCTGTTTCTTGCTTATTCCAAAGAGATACAATATCATGAGATTAACTTTCTACCATCAACAGATCAAGCATAAATAACATTTAGAAAGGCCTCAATATTCAACATCTTAGACTTAGAACATTGTGATCCTTCTCCTAGAGACCTTTT